CTTCGTCACTAAACAACCTCAAAATTTATAATTGCGTAACTGCAATTTAACACCACAAAAATTTTCTAATATTTACTGGAACAGCTCAAGCTACATATAACAGTCATATGTCTTGTACACAACGCTAGCTTAGGCTGGTTAGGTTAAATCCAAAACTTCTCCGACGGTTTTAAAAAGCTGGAACAATTTTACTCTTAATTCCTTATATCAGCTTTGAGGCAGGGTAAAATTTTACAAGTGAGACAAACCATTGACTTTTTGTTGAACAAATGTGTCCGTTTAGACAATGTTAAAACGCTTTCTTCTCTACGATTGTCAAAATTACTTAAAATTACCTAATCCCCTGCTATATTTAAATTTCAGTAAACGTCACTGAAGAAAGTACATTAATATTCCATTGGCTGTCCGCAGGTTCCCACCGCTAATCAGAGTTACACTCCAAACTCGCCTCCCTCGTGAAGGGCGGTTAGTAGTTCTTTGCAATGAAAATTAGCTTTTGTGCACTTTCGGCTACCCAAATGCACCCCATTTACAAAATTAGCAGTTGTTAAAATTGAAATGTTCTTTTTGGCAAAAACACGTTACCATTTACAAGGCCATTTGAGCAAAACACAAAAATCAAAAAAAACACCTCATACAAAACCGAGGAACAGCAATGACTAATAATTACCTAAACCATTGAACAAACACATTGATCAACACCCATACAACACATATAATTCACCAGGGCTTATCTCAAACCATTGACACGCGCCAAAGGCAACCTGTTCATAACATCAAAACCACCGGAAAACATACTTCCAACTTTAATGTCATATAGTAACAACAATAAAATATACCACAGCACTTCACCAGATAACCAGCAAATTAAATAAATAACCATTAAATACACTCAACCATAATTTCCAATAACTTCTGCATATTGTCATAAATATCTGGCATTATAAATAAATGTTACCATCAAAATATACTTTTAAATACTGTGATCGTCGTACACTTAGTTCTCCACCTTCTTCCTTGCCCATTTGCCAGTATGGACCAACACGATAAAACTCTCCCCTGTACCCTGTGATGAAGGTTAGTAGTGCTGTTAACTCACAGATTACTCCCAATCCATATCATCATCTCACCTTTCACCGTTGAATATATCTATTTACTATCTTAACACCATAATACATAAAACTATGTTAGCATGTACAGAGTCCATAAAAAAAAATGATTTTGTAAAATAACTGAAAACATAAATATTTCCCAGTAATCAAGAAAATAAAAATGCCTTCAACACACAGAAACTTATACTTCTTGGAGGAACTAAAGCAAATTATACATCTATTATATATATACAAACTTTGAAGTATTCTCACCACATTCATTAACAATACTGTACGTTAGTAAAGCCTATATGTTGATGGTACTTATATACTGCCTGGAATACTTAAGTACTGCTGGTTTACTTAAAGGGTGAAACTTTTATTATTTAGAATCAGTGAGAAGTTGAAACATTTTTATTGTTACCAATACTCGTCACGATGTTGTCAAATAAGGCTTTGAGACTTTATGGTTTGCTTGAAAGGATAAAGGCAGTTTCTTACACTTTTAAAGAGGCCAATGAATAACATAGTAGATTTAGGAATGTATAGAAGGAACCCAGCCAGACATTTATTGAATTAGTTTATTTTATTACCAAGCTTAAAGACTTTTGAATTTTTAAATGAGCTTATTATGAGTCACAATTACCTAGAGATTCATATGTGTATTTCTGTGAAAGTGACAACTGTAAAGAAACTTCCAACTTTGATAATTATTATATTTTTATTCATAATCTTTCACATAAAAGTCAACTGTGATCTTTTTTTTGAATTTTTGATAAATATCGCATGACGAATTCTATGGCTTTCTATGGGCGGCCAGACACAGACACCACCGTAAAGCCGCTAATGGTTGTTACGCCTCTTTAATTCCCGGTAAAACCACATTCATTAATCTCTAAAGTGAAAAATTAACAAGTTAGAAATTAAAAAACAGTAAAATTGGCAATAGCAAGACAATAACCAACACATAGTGAAGTTTTATAGAAAAACATTTAATAAAAATGAAATGTCTTAAACAGTTGTGATGTGGTGGTTAGCCTAGTTAAGATTTTCCCGCCTAAATCCAAAGCTCCCCCCCCCCCAACACACCGTCGTCCTTAAATACCCTGAAGGCTGTGGCAGGAGGTCAGTATTACTCGTAACCCAACAGAAGTTGTATTACAGGACCCGTGGTTATACTTGTCGTCGTTCTTCAGTTGCTGTTTTTATTTCACTTGAGTATATTAATGTTTTTGTATTGGTTAAAGTTGTGTTTGCTGAATTATTTATATTTGGGGTAACTTGGTAATATATTAATATTACTGGTGAGCTATTACTATTTGTGATTTAAAATATAATAAACTTTTGTATTTAACCCCCCCCTTTATATTTTTTATTTCTTTATTTCAGACCCGTGAGATCTACCTGGTTAAATTGCATACGCTTGTAGTGAATTTCTCCCCTACAAACGCTGTTTGTCGCTGCGTAGCCGACCCCACCAATTCCCCAGTGTATTCCTCGTGGTCTAGGTCAACCAGCGCCGCCATACATCACGGAGCGGGGGTCAACTACTAAACCACGCCTACCCCCCGCTATTTAAGACCTGACCTCGTGGTGACCTGCCTCTTTCTACCTACACCAACCAGCCAGCAACACCTCCTCATTCTCAGCCTACCTGGTGGTCCTCGCTCCCGCTGGCGAGCTTGGCGACCCACAAGCTGGTCCTCCTCCGAGCATCCTCACCATCCAGCTCTCTCTACATCATGCTTGTAACCACGCTGCCACTTCCCAGCACCAAGCTGCGTTGTACATCCAATACAACATGTATACAGAGAGCACAGTGAGTTTCCTTTCTCCATTCCATCCTGAGTGTGAACCAAACCTCTTGAACCCCACACGCTCTACCTGGTTAAATTGCATGCACTATACCGGGTTAAATAACTTCAGTTAAAACTAAACATTAAATAACTTGCCTCCCTCCAAGGAACATCAAGAGCCGTATGGGCAACTCTTAATGTTCTCAAGGTAGATGATCCTTAATGATACTCTCCAGCTCCATACAACCACTCGGTAGCTTCTTCAAACAATTTGTGGTGTGAAGCTTTCGTTCATCTGAAACTTAAAACCTGAAAAAAATGGAATCTCCACCCTCGAGTTAATATCACTTTGTAATTGGTTCTCTGCCATGGACTTGATAAATTTAATCTGCCTTGTTGGTGTTAATGGGTCGTGTATTGTTTCTACCTTTGGTCAAACCTGCTCGTGTAAACTCCCACCTGGTCCTGTAGCTCGTAAAGATATGGAAGCTTAGGCAGCTGAAGAATTCTACCCTCTTTAGGGAGGAATCCTACCGTCTTTTGGGGAGGAATCCTATGGTCTTCTAGGGAGGAAACCTACAATATATGCTTCTTAAATTTGTATGGAGAACAACTACGGTATAATGTATGGATTGCATTTAACCCCCGTTTAATAAATGAATACTTGATGATTGAAGTAAAGAAACTTAAACGAAAAGTATAGCTCTATTTACAAATGCTTACCACTAATAACAAAAACATAAAGCTAATCACAAACATTCTAGGTTACTTTAAGGTGGCCAATATCACTGACAACTAAATAAATACACGATTCAAGAACAAAAATACATAAAGCACAGAATACATAAGCTTTAAGAACAGCGTCCTTCAACGCATCATATTGACAAGCTTGATCATCGGTAAGGTTTTTACTCTACCTAAGAATGCTGATTGAGCTAGAATACTCCACTGTGAAATAGGCCAACTCAACTGTTTGGCAATTTCTCAAATACGTTAGAAATTTTCAGGGTCATTCTCATCAAAACTATGTACTAATTTAACATGTTTTGGAGCATCAAAAGTAGTGGCCTGTTAAGTGTTTGAACTGGAAATTT